GGTCCTTTTTAACGACAACAAACGTGTCGTCTACATAGCGTACCCATAGCTTGGGGTTAATCGATGGTAGAGACATTGATTCTAGCTTCTCCTCTACATCCATGTCTATTATGTCCACCCTTTACCCCAAACAGCTTTTGCAGTGACGACGATTTGCGCATTACAGTAGTTGCCGGTTATTAAGCCCACTGTCACTAGGCCCACCCGCGTATTAAGCCCAATTTGGTCTGGGCCCGAGGTAGGCTTAATAACCGGCGCCTACTGTATTATTTATATGTGGTCGTAGATTAAGGCACCCACCAGCTTACGCCATTGTACGCCGATGGCAAGACAGCGTCAAGAGGTCCGAGCAGGATCCAGCGTAGACCGCTTCTCGAATGCAGATAGTTGAAAAGCGATAGTAAACGACCTTCCGATCCTCTAACGATCCACTCGACCTCTTCACGTTCCAAGGTGCGCACTGCGTTGCTTGGATGTTCTAGGCTGTGGTCAGATTCAGCGGGCCGGCTGCCGAGTTTGAGTGGGTTGAAGTGAACCTTGAAGTCCATGTTGAATGGTCGACCGAGATTATGGATACCGTAGTTTATATCCGACAGAAATTTGGTAATGTTGTACGGCTCACACCAGTCGCTTTCTAACGCCGACGGCATACCCTGGGCAGCCGACTAGGTCCTTAGCCAAACGTTATCATCCGTAAGGGCTTCTTTGGGCACGGGCGCCTGCGAAAAAAACGAATTTTATTATCATTAAATGAGATTGTGCTGAGGTTAATATCACTGTAAGATGCACATTTACCATGTGGGGCGATGAGGCTTCCTTGGGAAGGTATCACAATGGTTGTGATGGTGACCCTGTCAAAATCATAACCCGCAACTCGTTCTTGTCAGCTAGCACCTTAGCCCTACGCATTCTAGAAGTTTTGAAACCACGTCAAATAACTCTAGTCCATTCGAACGACGAATCTCCGATATTGGCGAGCATTGTTCAACTAAAAAATATACGGCTAGCATACCTCTCCTGGTAACATTTGTTGGTCTTGCTAAGTGATCAGGCTTAACACATTTCCCGTTTTAGGTTTGGCGTTGCGTGAGAAACGGGCCACTCGAAAATTTCACTGGCGCCTAGGCCTAAGATGATGCTCTGCGCCTGAGGTAGCGAAAAGTGAGCATAGGGTTGAGATATAGGCTGTATTTTAAAATCCTGAAGCCTGCCTCACACGCGAATATCCGCTTTATCCTTCCTTATTTTTGTATGAGCTTCTTTGAGGGTG